TTCCGAATCATGCGCATGAATGCGCATTAATGCGCACGATTGAGGAATCATGCGCACGCATGAAACCCATCTCTAGTTCCTTTGAATCGTTCTCACTTCAAGATAATGTATATACAATGTTGAAATAATAAAGCGCGTAGCACAAATCTGCAGACCCATTGCTAAGGGTTCCGAACATGCAGAAGCTTTGATTCTATTTAAGGATTCTGAACATGTAAGAATTCCGAAAGTGCAGAAATTTGGTTTTCTATATAATGATTTAGGAATAAATGAATAAGAAATCAAATTTTATTTGAGACTACGAAAAATGTCAAATGTGAGTATAATATGAACAAGGATGTATTTCCAATCTCATTAATATGTAAAAGATTAATGTATAATATGATTTTGCTTAGACACCACAACAGTGTATCCTTGCAATTAGAAGAACGGGAAATGGAAAAAGCTTTGCAGAACCCTTTTGGTGCAAATTCAGAAGTCGGTCATTCAACTAATTCCAAAACAAAAGGAACAATAGTTCATGATTGTGGAAATGGACGTTCCTATGTTGATACACGAGGTTTTGATGATTCCGATGAGAAAAAAGATGATGCTGAGATTGCTCGTGAGATTCTTCGTAAAATAGTAGATAATCATATTAAGAAATTGACCACAATCCTGTGGTTTGTATTACCTGACAACAGAGCGACACATTCGCTTAAACTTCAAGCAGGGTTTATAGAATCCCTTGTGATGCTGCTAAAAATATAGCTCTAAGTTCTTTTGAAACAAGGCATGGTAAACCTCCAGACAAGGACTATAACCCACTTGAAAAAACCTCTGATTTCGCATATCTTCTAGTTGATTGCTAATGTTTTAATCATTAATCCACATGTTTATATTTGTTATCGCAGTGGTACATGAATTTACGTATCATTACCCGTAGTAAACTGCTGCAAAACCCGAGCCATTTACGGTCAAATTGGTACGGGAATACGGTCTACCAAATCCGTACCAACTCAGACCATACCTGTACAAATCCGGATCTTGACCCGTGCCTATCCGAAACCAACCCGTGCCGATCCGGTACATTTTTCTTATAAGGATTAACAGGCCAATATCTCATTCCATTTTCATAACAATTGTCAATATAATTTTTTTTTGCCGGACTAGAGATGGGAAAAATGCGCATTTTATAATAACATGTGTATGAATGCGCATTAATGTGCACGTTATATAAAATGCGAATGATATCGCATGATATAATTTTTTTGATTTTATATTTTCCCTCCGGAAAATGTCGGATATTTGCCAAAATTTTTTCCCAACCCTTCACGTTTCATTTCTTTTCGGAATTTTTCAAAACGTTTACATTCCTATTTCTTAATTTTGCCTGGCATTATACACCTTGTCCTAAATTAAATATACTTTAATTTTCCTATATAAAATTTAGATGTGATAAAATGCGCATGTTTCCGAATCATGCATGAATGCGCATTAATGTGCATGATTGAGGAATCATTCGCACTCATGAAACCCATCTCTAATAAGGGCACGTTGGTTCAATTTTACATTCTAAACAATTTCTAAAGAAAAATCATATTAAAAATTGATAACAGTATTATATGTAAAATTATAACTTACTTTGCATCGCCAGCTTCCTTAGGTTTATTTTTTGGATTAAAAATTGATAACAGTATTATATGTAAAATTATAACTTACTTTACATCACCAGCTTCCTTAGGTTTATTTTTTGGATTAAAATTAATCAAAATACCAAATGAACTAATTTTCTATAAATTAAAAATAATTAACAATATAATTATATTAATTATTGCACAGCTGACGCGAATCTAACCTAAATCCTAGTAAACTCCCCTCTAAAGGATTTAAAATATCATTAAATAAATCCAAATTTCAACATCAGCCGTGACATTTATTTTTAATAATTAAATAAAAATATTTTTACGTATACTAATGTAAGCATACCACGCGTGGAGAATCGTTCAAATAAGACATTAAATCTAAAGTAATGAGTTAATTATTAGTTTAAAACATAACTCCGTATAACGCAAATATACGCGTCATTTCGATGCCCTGCGCGTTATTTTGGAACGTGAAAAATGTTACAACTACTAAAAACTTTTCTGTATGTGGTAACCACTTTATTCCATTGTCGTGGTTTAATTTGTTACCCTAGGATTTCGTGGTTCTGGGTTCGATCAGGATCGGGATCCGGTTAAATCTTGTAATATTTAAAGCGAACATTGAATCAGTTTTAGTTTTAGCTTTGGCATTAATAAAATACACGTTCTTTTGTATGGTCGTCCCTATATGATTAAGTATTGAATCGGACGGTGGAGAACCTGTACAGTACTCCAGTAATCGTATATATATCAGCCAAGCGAGTAAAGATTGATAATAAAGGCCCACGAATACACGGAGGTCTGAGAAACTCTGTGACACCATATATCTGCGGCTTTTATAATATTTTAAAAAAGATACTTGAAGAATAAATCTTCCGCCTTAGGTTCAAATAATTGTATTGTCAAATAACCCGCAACTATAAAATTTTTAGTGTACTACAGCAGGCTCACTCTTTGCATATAGGATCTTATATTAGCCCTTAGGGGCTATTGGTGCAATATTAAACTTTATTGAATGATCTTTATTGAGAATGAGCGGCATACATCAGTGCAATTGATGGATAATCTGAAACCGACAGGCTGACTTTGATGGAAAGTTTAGGCTACCCCAAGTGACAGGTTCTATGTGGATTCTATGTGAATTCATATGGGTAGGTTGTTAGGTTCGAATCTTGCTTTTAGAAATGATGCCATCCAGCTGCTTAAAGCGTGCGTCTTCTTATTTTTGCCTTTGACAATGATGATGTCGTTAATGCTGTAATATTATATTGTGATTATAAATTAGACAACTAATTATATATTACCTGTCTGACCTCATGTGTTGCTAGCTTATCTGTATTCCCAATTGGGATTAATGGCTGATTCAGTGATTCTGTCTAACCGGATTGCTTTTGGCATATCCCTACTTAACCATCTTTCAATGTACATTTTTGCGTGACCATCATCCCTATCGAGGCATACGTAATCATTTTAATTAAATCGATAAATTGAGAATAATTTTGCTTCATTTCCAAATTAATTGAATAAGATATTTTTCTTTTACTTCTAAATTTAGTTCTTTCTTTTAGTATATCTTTTACTTTACTTCTAGATTAGTTCTAGTGTGCTCGTTTACTATAATGCATCTATAATATAAAAATCTGCAGCCGCAAAAATACTGTTAAGAACAGTTGAAATAAGATCATTAATTTCATACATTTTGTGCAAGATAGAGTCAATTAACTTCATACATATTGCGTATACAGGAAACCAAAAAATATTCTGAAATTATAAAGTATGGATAACTGGTCAATCTATTTCTTTCCTGAATAGTTATTGAATATTCTTTCAAATCAGTGACGTGCCAAATGACTTTTCAATGAGTGCCCACCCTGTTCAGAAATATTTGCCTCGACTAAACACTAGCAATTAATTCGTACATAGGATAGAGCAATTAATTCCATACATATTTCATACAGATAAAGTCGCTTCATTAATTATACACATTTCTTGTTGGCTGCACGTTAATCTCATTCATCTTATACATAATGGAGTCAATTAATTTCGTACATATTTTCAGGATAGAGTCAAATATATTGTATAAAGATAGAGTCGCTTCATTAATTATACATATTTCATGCTATCTACACGTATCTTTAATTTTCATATTATTTCATTAAGTATATAAACCTTGGATTTTTCTTTGCTGAGAAATTAAAAAATTTCTTTTCTCCTTTCATATATACTGTCTACTCAATCCCTAGACATTTCCATACATATCTCATTCCCAAACTTCCACGCAAAAATGAAATTCTTAAAAAGTTTATTTTTGATTACCGCTTTACTTTCAGCTTACGTATTTGCTGCTCTTCCAAATCCCGGAAGTTTACTTATTGCGCCAAGTACATCTTTAAATTTTTATAAAATGATATTGATTTTTATTATTACTTAATTCATAATAAATTGTATTTAATTTTAAAAATAGTTGCTGGATCGCAGCACGTTTCTGGCCGTAACATTACCCTCACTTTTATTCCTGGTGCAGATTGTCCTCCATCTTTTGATTTAATTAGAATTGGTAGAGCGTATGTAAATGATTATCATGTCCTCGACACTAATATCCAATTGCCACCAGGTGCGGATATATTTTTATTTTAAGGATCATTAAAGTGTGGTAATTCATATAAATTATTGAAATTTTTATTTTATTACTAAATAAAACCAAAAGGCCAAAATCAGTATACTTTCTCTTACACTATTCCTGCTGGTCTACCCTCCGATCCCAGATTTGTTATTGGTGGTGGTTCTAATTGGAATGTACAATCTGCAACTTTTGCTGTTAATAGGCCAAACTTTGGTGTTGTCATTAATAGACCTAGTACCAGACAAAGTTATAGGGTAAGGTTTAAAAATATTCTCTGCCTTAATACTGTATATGTATTAATCTTGAAATTTTTTAAAAAATATTTAGGCTGGCCAAAGGGTTAATATCGCTTGGCGGCCATGTAAGTTTTTGATATGTTCAAATTTCTATTTAATTAATTTATAGTATATATATATATATAGTATATATCTAAATAATTAATATGTATCTAATTTTCGAATTTCAGCATCGAGAACTTTATATCGATCCTCCAATATAACTCAATTTCTAATATTTGATAATGTGAAAAATACTTGGACTCCTATCTTGGATCAATCTGTTCCTGTTAACTCAGGCAATTATAGACTTACTCTTCCTAATTCTCTTGCAAAACAAAATGGCTATCAATTTGGAATTCTAGTTGAACGTAATGGTAATCAAGAGGCTTATTATTCCAATCCTTTTAGAGTTGTTTAATGTTTTGTAGTTGATGTGTTACAACAAGAGCATATCTAGAGAATAATTATTATAACAGATTTCTAAATCTTATTCATTGTTCTTTTAATTTAATATTATCTATATGAGATTTAAAGTTGTCATTAGTTTTTTATATGCATGATTTTGTTTATTAGCTTAGTTTGTTTTACAATATTAGAATACGTAGATTGTATCCTACTTTGATATTATTTACGAGTGGGTTAAATATTAGAACAATAAAAATAGAATTTTTATACCTTATATATGCTAGTCTCCTGTGTTAATTTTAATTATTGAGTTAATATACTTGTAGCCACGACTACCTGCAGCCGCATTCTGTAAGCAATCAAATTTCAAGATCAGGTGTAACGCGAAACAAAACAACAATCGTTTTTTTAAAAAAATGGCAATAACACAAAATTTTGACTATGAAACTATCTTATACGTTCTAACAAAAAAAATTCCTTGCTAAATTTTAGTATAAACTGCACTTTGCCCCAACCTAACATCACGTTAATCTTAACCTTAATCGTGAAGATTCATTTTTATGAAAAATGGTTTGATAGTAACGTTACACCTGATTTTAATGTAGCCTATGGCTACAAATATTCTAATATCAGAAATAAAGCAAAATAACTTTTATACATTTATATATACCAGTACATATTCCACTTTTATGCTAGTTATGAGTTGGTTGAATATCTGAATAATAAACCCCAAAAAAACATATAAGTTGTTTAATACCTTTATATATACTGGGTTTTTTTTTGATGCTACTAACATACAACTTAAAATCAGAATAATGAAAAAATTGATGTATCTCTTAATTTTTTGTATATCTATACGTATGTATCTTACTTTATGGTAACTTCTTTTGGTTTACCTTTATTATTCTATATGATTCTAATATTTACTAGCACGACAGGTGGCGCGTAAGCTCCACCTATCTTGTTTAAGTAAGATTAGAAATAAAGGATAACTTTTGTACAGTATAATTACATGAATGTATAATGTGAAATGTGTAGAGCAGTGATTCCATTCAACTTTTTTGATGTTCGCTATATTGATTTTTGCAAAATCCCTTTTGGGACACTTAAAGATCACTGAACCCGTGATTGATAATCACATGATAAACATATCATGACGTCATTTGTTTACCAGAACTAAACAAACTGCCTAA